TGTGTTTAACCTACAAGTCTTCAAGCCATTGATGGTCTTGTATTCGCCCTTGCCCTGGTAGCCCTGGGCTACGATCGGGGGGATGCTGGTGACGGTGAGTATGGAGGACAAGCCACTGACAGGGCGTTACTCACGAGCAACAGGCCTTGTTGACACCAGACATGGCTGTAGAGGAACAGTGAAGGGGGCGCACGATACGACTGGAGAGGGGTGTGACGGGGGTCAGGAAGGACCTTCTGAGAGGGAGAGTCAGAAGCTGTCTGGAGAACATGTTAGAGACACAGGCGGATAGCGGACGCACAGGGAGAATGAGACGGATGAGTTGGGTTGGGTGTGGGATGAATGGATGAGCAATTGAAGAAGAGAAGAAGAAGGAAGACGGGGAGGAAGAGACGACAACAGGGTTAAATGAAGCTGGGGAAAGAAAAGAGCCGAGATGCGAGGCCGACACACAGTAACTTGGAGGAGTAGCATTTAGCAGTGAAAGCTACCCCACCTGCCCTCGACGTCATCCGAATTCATCCCCGCCAATCCCGATTTCGCCCGGACTTCCCTTCTTCCCCTTTCCCAGGGTCAGGAGTTCGTATCAAATCACTTGGACAGTGTTGCATATATAATTACGATGTGCCTTTGCAGAGCTTCCGTTCAACCAGGAAGGATAATAGCATCTTGCATATGCGGGGAATAGCCTGGACCGGGCTGAGCATTGATACTCCTGTCAGCCCCACCATTACCTTCCCTTGGGAGCAGTCGTGAATCTTCTCACACCCACTACTACAGCCATTCTCGAGATAAATCTCTTTTTGCTTTTCTGAATTGATTATCTCTTATCTACTTGATATTTGCGGGAATAAATCAAAACTTGGAAGGCCTACTTGCAAGTGAGGCTAATCCCGACCGGAAGCTAAACAATGCGGACCATGGTAAGGATTGATCCCTAAGTATACTTAGCTCAGCAACTACACCATCTTGACATTCTCGAATACTTCATACAATTGTCCATATGTTCAAAGTTGGTTAGCTGATAGTAGGACTGATAAAATATATTATTATTCTATGCTCTCTACATTTTTCACAAAGTCTGGCTGAAACGCAGTATTACTTGATTGAAGTTTATATAATCCATCAGTGTTCTCGGTATGACCTTTGACCTTACCTAGTAGTAATACTACATTCCCCGATGTGAGCGATCGTATAAAATCACTGTAAACGATAGTAGCGTGCTATTCCGCTGCTCTCGATCCATACAAATTTCCCGTCAGCTTTACCATCCCCCTTGCTGTTGTGGACCTAGGTGTCGAGACTTCCGAAAACGGAAAGGAATGCCATAGGAGCAGCCAGATACCGCTCTTCTTTACAGTACATACACTTAAGAGCCTGGCCATGCGTTTACTAATGATCATTCGCCACCCTACATCCTCAACTTGCATGCCTACCAAATTTGTATTGTTACACTGCATGTAGAAAGCAGAGCGTGATGCATACTTGGGCCACTGATAACTGCGGTCGCCACATTCCAGGTTCCTCTTAGGGCCTACTCGCTTATCAGGAGTACATTTGTGAAGCAGAATCCAGCACGATGCTGGCATGCATAATGTGGGCCGCCTCATATAAGACTAAGTCTGTCTTTCATGTCATATTCTGAAGATTTCGAACTGTGCTGATGAACGGAGTAGACACTTTTCCTAAGATATGGAGCCTACATGGATCATAGTCGCTGAAAACATACACAACTCTTTTACCACCAGGATTTCGCGACATGCCACACAGGGTGATTGTGATATGATAAGACTCACTTTTCTTCGTCATGCCCGCAGCTAATTATCTCCGAGAATTGGTCTTGATGGCCATGGTACTGTCTTGAATCCATGTGCCAACAAGAAGTCATGTTAATGGGTCCAGCTATCAGGGCTGACATTCTAGCCTTGCGTCGAAGCTAATCTCGTGCTGGAAACTGCACTGTAGATCATGTCAATGTCTGACTTCTCAGCAGTATCTTTCGGTAGCCATTGATCAAACGACTTTTTCTTTGAAGCCAGCCAGCTCAGGGATTTCATTCTACGGTACTAGTAACAAACGGCCAGACATCATATTACGTTTTTTATGCGTATCACCTTGATCGCCCCCATGGTCTTGGTCTGCAGCATAAATTTCGCTACTAAATTTGCTACTATATGTTACTGCATACAACTGCCGGTTGATCCCTGCACTGCTAGTTCTCGTCCCGGTATCGGCATTGTTGCAGCAGCCAAGCCGGCCATTCTACCTCCAAGTCTTGGTGTCCGAGAAAAAGTACATATATGGATATTGATATTACACCTAACACGGCCGGCAGAGAACATTACTCGCTGAACGAAGCATGTTGAATAATATATGACTCTACCGGTTTCAATGTATACTTTACAGCACACATTAAAGCTCATTGCCATCCTTGAAACGCAAGGGATTATACAGCGAAGCCTATCTTAGGACCAAGTGTTAATCACTGGCAGATGATCAGATAACGGACATAGAACTATTCACGAAAATAAATATTCAATACCTTGGATACCATAGGCCACTAGACATCTTAGCATCTCACAAATCACCTCATCCAGCCAAGCAATCAACATCCTATCTGCTCCACTCCCTAGTGCTATCACCACTCACCCAAGAAGCACGCCTTCTTATCCCCCATTGACACCACCCATGCTGATCCCCACACCGCACAGACAATTCAAGCTTGTTGCTACCACTCAGTCACATCGAAGAGATAGGCAGGAAGAATAGACTCACCATCCGGAGATTTACACGACACATGCAGCTGCAGGAAGATGCAGTAGATAGGCAATTGTCACGTAATACAAGCAATGCTATGGTGACATCGACGTCTCCAAGCATCTGCCAACACATCATAGATAAATCAATGGTTCTATCACTCGTTAACTTCTATACAACTGTAAACTATACACAAGACAAAAATATCACAATGTTTGCTCATAAGAGGTTTCCCCGGATACGATGGTTTTCGCCGGACGACTCACCGTCGGAACGACGTCTGCTCTTGAAACTCGACCTTCTCATCGTCCCTTATGCTTTTCTTGCCTACTGGACGAAGTATATCGATCAGGCAAATATTAGTGAGTCCACAAATCGGTACCACAATTGGCACAATGACATCAATATTAATGTCTACCAACAGACAATGCCTACGTCTCTGGAATGCAAGAATCCCTCAACCTGCAAGGAAATGACCTCGTCAACCTGCAAACTATCTACACCGTTGGCGCCGTCCTAGGCCAACTTCCATTTGCTTACCTGTTCACCAAATACCCCGTCTCGTACCTGATCCCAGGGATGGACTTGCTCTGGGGAGTCTTCACTCTACTGCAATACCGCGCTACTTCGTATGAAGAGATGATGGCATATCGCTTCTTAGTAGGGTGGTTCGAGGTATATCCCAACCCATACCCCTACCTCCTTTCCACAGAATAACCGACATTTCACAGGCCGCCTTCTTCCCCGGAATGCATTACATCTTCGGTACGTCCAACCCACCAACACCACACTCCACAAGATATCTAAACATCTGCAGGATCATGGTACCAAAGCCACGAAATCGCCCGGCGCGGGGGCTTCTTCTACCTCGGCCTAACACTAGGCACACTAACAGCAAGTTTCATCCAAGCGGGAGCATCCGCCCAACTGGACGGAGTAAACGGCCTCGCCGGCTGGCGCTGGATGTACATCATCTGCGCAGTAATCACCATCCCCGTCGGGATCCTCGGATTCATAGTCCTCCCCGGGACGCCCGACAAACCGAACCGAATCGTGCTCAGCAGATCCGACATCCAACTCGTCCGAACGCGACTACAGAAAGCCGGACACGGGGTGCAAGAATCCAGCGTCTCATGGAAGACCTGTGCGCGTGTGCTACGGAACTGGAAGCCCTGGGCGCTGCTGTGCGTGGACATTTTCTTCTGGAACGCGTGCGTGCAAACCACCACGGGTGGGTATCTTCTCTGGTTGAAGAGTCTGAATCGGTACTCGACTAGTAAAGTCAATGAGTTGTTTGCGATCGCGCCCGGGCTGGGGATGTTTTACACTCTGTTGGTTTGCTTCGCGTCGGATTTGGTGCTCGGTCCGGCGTGGGCGATTACGCTGGCGCATGTGTGGAATATTATTGGCTTGGTGATTCAGGTTATTTGGGATGTGCCGGAGTCGGCGCTGTGGTTTGCGTTCTCGACGATGTATTCGTCTGTGGCGATGTCGAGTGTGTTGATGGGGTGGATTAATAGTGAGATACGACATTCGCCGGATGAGAGGGCGATTGTTTTGATTGTGTTGAACACGATTGCTCAGTCTACGACGGCGTGGACGCCGCTGTTGGTGTTTCCGACGGTCGAGGGGCCTAGGTTTACGAAGGGGTATTCGTTTGTGCTTGCTTGTGCGATCTGTTTGATTGTGTCGGCACACGTTACGAGGTACTTTATCGAGAGAGAGTATGTCTGCTCCGATGGTTGCGGTTTGGGTGATGCTAATGTGTCTAGGGATCGCGCGATAGCTGCTAGTGATGAGGACTCCGCGGCTTCTCGAGACGAGACAGAGTCTGGATCTGCTGTCGTGCAGGTTGCACGGCCTAAGACCGAGTATAGGTATACTGATGGGGAAGGGATAGACGCCAACTGAAGATAGAGGGGATGAAATTAGTCAATTAGATGTTGAGCCATCTTATCTAACTGTCACGCAATATACCTGCATATGGTGTAGACTTAGCATCCACTACCGCCCGGCATCGGAGCACATGGCTGAAGCAGTGTCTCATAGAAATACTAAAATCGTGTCGCGCATGATGCGGGGAAAATGGCGAATTTGTATCCTGCATGTCCATCCCACTGATAACACGCTTGCGCCATGGAAACATCTGATGGCGGGATTGGTGAGGAGTTGACACCACACCAGACTATATCACTGCTACGTTCGAATGAGAGTAGTAACCCAATACAACAACCGCAGACACAATGGGCGACATCAGTACAAACAACCGCCAAAATGGCAAGAAGCAGATCCTGCTCAATGCCTTTGACATGTCCACCGTGGGCCATCTGTCCCCAGGACAATGGAAAGTAAGAATCTCAACTCCACATCCTGCTATTATACTGACATACACACGCAGAACCCAGCCGACAAGTCAGCCACAAAGCGCAAGCTAGACTACTGGATCAATCTAGCCAAGCTCCTCGAGCGCGGAGGCATCAACGCCCTGTTCCTGGCCGATACATACGGCGGATACGACACGTACGAAGGCAAACTAGACGAGTGCATCCGACGTGCAGCGCAGTGGCCCGTCACTGATCCGACAATCGTACGTCGCTTATACACCCACTGCCAGATGTATACTGACAAACAGAACAGCCCATCTCCGCCATGGCAGCCGTGACCAAGAACCTCGCGTTCGGAATCACAGCCTCGACCTCCTTCGAGCCACCATTCCTCCTCGCGAAGCGCTTCTCGACGCTAGACCATCTCACCAACGGCCGCATCGGATGGAACATCGTGACCTCGTGGAAGAAAGCAGCCTTCAAGGCCATTGGCCTTGACACGCCCATCGAGCACGACGAGCGATACCGCCAAGCAGATGAGTACCTGCGCGTGCTATACAAGTATGTCCTCATACCTTCCTCATATACCCTCCCTCATCCACTAACATGAATCATACAACAGACTCTGGGAATCCTCCTGGGCGCCCGACGCCCTCAACCCGGACCCCGAGAACGACAGCTACGTGGACCCGGACAAGGTGCGCCAGATCAACCACAAGGGGAAATACTTCACCCTGAACACGCGCCACATCGTGGACCCGTCCCCGCAACGGACGCCATTCCTCTTCCAAGCTGGCACTTCAGCAGCGGGGTCTTCCTTCGCGGCCACACACGCCGAAGCGATCTTCGTCTCAAGCCACTCGCCCACCGTCCTGCGGCCCAAGATCGCCAACATCCGACGTCTGGCTGCCGAGCAAGGGCGGGATCCATCGTCGATCAAGTTCTTCGCGACGTTCACGCCGATTATCGGACGGACGGACGAGGAAGCGCGCGCTAAGTATGAAGAAGTGAAGAAGTACGCGTCTGTCATTGGGGGACTGGTGCTGTTTAGCGGGTGGACGGGGATTGATATTAGTCGGATCCCCATCGATCAGGATATCACGGCGGCGGATTCGCTAGAGGCGCATAAGGTCACGAGTCAGTTGGATGCGTTCACCACCACGAGCGAGGACGTGCCGCGGTGGACGCCGCGGGTCGTGGCGGAAAAGGCGGCCATTGGGGGATTGGGGCCTGTTGCGGTGGGGAGTCCGGAGAGGGTGGCGGATGAGATGGAACGGTGGGTGAGGGAGGCGGATCTGGATGGGTTTAATTTGGGGTATGTGACTACCCCGGGGACGTTTGAGGATGTGGTGGAGTTGTTGGTGCCGGAGTTGAGGAGGAGAGGGCTGTATCCTGATGCTGTTGAGGAGGATGAGGAGGGAGAAGGGTTGACGGCGAGAGAGAAGGTGTATGGACGGGGACAGAGGGAGTTGAGAGCAGATCATCCGGGGAGTAAGTACAAGTATGATGTTTATGTTGAGGAGGAGGAAGAAGCAGCAGCAGCCTAGTAGTCTATTCACATAGCCACATACAGTGATTACTGGATAGACCCTGTGACGACAAATAAACTACCACAACCCAAAGCCACCACAGCGCCGCAGCCGTGAATCCCAGTCTTACTTACCTCTTACAAACTAACTTACTTCCCCAGTCTACTCTCAAAACTAAACATTCCCCTTCCCTGACCCTTCATGTTCCACCCAACACAGCAAACATAGCATGGCAAGGCATGGCATGTGTATGTGTCCAGCCTAACCCGACTAATACCTATTCATCTTCCCCGCCCCCAGCATTCCTCCCTAACCACAACCGCCAAGCATGCATGAGTCCAGACCAGTCTAGACTTTTTTTTTCCCACCCCCAAATTCTCACTAGCTTAGAATGCGAATTACTTTTTTCCTTCCTTTATTTGGGTTTCTCCTTCGGCCGGTAGAGTCAAGCGAGAGACAGAGAGAAAGAGGGAGAGAGAGACATTAGGCTTGCAGTAGCGATGCAGCAATGCAGCGATCTCGTGATCGATCGATTGATGCAGTAGTGGTGTGAGTTCCGTGCCGGATTTAGATTTGTTTATTTAGTTAGTGAGTTAGTTTAATTTAGTTCGTATTGGTGTTTGTATGTATGTATGGTACGGTATTTATTTATTGATGTTGTCTATATTTGATGGAATGAATATATAATAATAATTATCGATTGATGAGGGTTTCTTGCCAAGCTGCCAAGCTCGTACGGAGGGACATGATATGTCCATATATCCATGATTGGGGGTCTTGGTGTGCTTGGCAGGGATTCTTACACGGATGGAAGATATTGGGTAGTGAAGTAGGGATTATTGTCTTAATGAATACTATCTTCAGAATGTAGTAGACTGTAGATAGATGAGGTGGTGTTGGTAGTGATCTGAGGCGGTGTGCACTCGATAAGTAATCAACTGAAACATGCAGGTAGATGCTTTGGTTAATACATGAATAGAGTGGCGATAAGTGTTGCCAATGGTATATTACCATCTATATATATGGGTTTACGGTGGATGTATGGTGGATAAGTAGGGACTGACTGGGGATGTGGATATGTGGCTACTATTAGGAGTATCCGTCTACAGTATGCATCGGAGATACCACCAATATGATAGTATCAACTTGATGCCAGAATACTACACAACCAGCACATCATAAATATATATAAGTAAAGCTGACACCGTGGTATCGCCACACAACCATTGGAGGAGAACCCTCCAATACCCTATTCCAATCTAAACATTCTCCTAATACTACACGAAATAATATATAGTAATTACTATCTCTTTGTCAGAGTAGTACACCCACTAGATACTTTATCGGACCGACTCGACTCGACTCAAATCGGATGTCAGAATACGATAGTCCGAGATCAATGTGAATATCCATCTTACAGTAGTAATCATATTCATTGCCACACAGACACGCACACACAATCTAGGAATAGAAACATGATAACAAAGCGAGCAAGACTATACCCCGTCCCTCCTCGGATTGACTCGGAGATACCTCCTATTATAAGTAGTAGTTCCCACAGTATAACAAAGCCATTTATAGTGTGTGCACAAACCAGGGCTCCATCCATTCATTCATTCAATCACTGCAGTGCACTTCAGGGGAACCGAACCCCGACCGACCGATCAAAGCCCGTTATCATTTCTCTCTCTTCCCTTAACATGTGAATCTGTCTTTTCATCTACCTCATGCCTAGGTTATTTGTATCTGTGTAAACCATCGGCCACCTCCGCACCTAAGTATGTATACGACTCCCTACTAAGATCTAAACCGTGTCACGGGAGCAATACTCACTATAACACTCCTAATATATAAACAACGAACGGAGTACCACCCCCTCTCCCCATAAGGCCAAGCCAAGCGAATCCGTACCATAGATACCACCATGCTAGTTAATCATACTAGCTAGCTAACTGGATCAAGCTTCCTGCAGCACTGGCTCGGGCTTTTCGCCATGGCGCTCGGATGAATAGGCGAGGCTAGTCTAGGCATGGGGACAAACTAGTTAGTTAGTTAGCTAGGGTAGTGTAGTGGCGAATCGCTTACTTGCTTGCTTGCTTGCTTGCTTGCTCGGGATCCGGGGTTTGATTGTAATGTAAGTACTAGACTGCGTGAGGGTAAAAAGAGGAAAGAAAAAGAGAAGTGGAGCGGAGCGGACGGAGCATTGGCTGACATGCATGGATAGTGTGTATGTATGTATGTGACTAGTTGGGTAAGTGGTGTGTCGGTAAGATAACCGGGAGATGGTAGTGGTAGTTAGTGATGGGGGTGGGAGGGTGAATAGGGGGGAGTTAGTGAGTGGAATGTACTAAGGAAGAGGGATTTATCACCTGGTAGGTAGGTAAATAGTTAGTCTAGTTAGTGGTTTTATCGCGCATTGACTGACTGACTGACTGACTGACTGACTGACGCCTTGCATGAGGGAACTCACTGACTGACCATGCGATGGTGCTTGCTTACTTGAAGTGTGTATGGAGTGTATGAGTGTATGGTACTAAGATGAATAAGGAGTAAGCTCCTGAAGGATGCGAGGCTAGCTAGCTAGCCTTCTTTGCACCAAACTAGCTCATTTACTCACTTCCCCATCATCAGTGGGTAAGTATGATTATCCCCAGGCGAGTCATTCCCATCAGAGGGCATGTCCGGCTCCGAGGTAACTGACTAATGACCACCTACAAATGACTTGCTATTCTTCTAGACCGCAACTTCATTCATCCACAGCAAGCATGGAACCTCATATGAACAAAATACTCAACAATGAGCGATTAACAAATATACTTTACTTTTCTGGTTTACTTTATCTTACTTGAATTGACCCGTCAGGAAAGATACAAACAAATAAATAACTCTCTTAGGCTACTAGCTACGTTGCATCCTGCCGGATGGCGTAAGGTTCATAAACTGAATCCGCTTCAAGCTTTTCCGGACGGAGTCTGAGCTCGAGCCTTGTCTCTTCTTTGCTCTCCTTTCTTTGAGGTTTGCTGTTTTGATGCCATTTAAGATAGATATGGAAGAATCTTGTTTTTTTGGTGGTGGTGGCTTAATGACTTGATTTTTGTAGTATGATCTAAAAGGTTGTAATCAGTAAGCATATCCCGCAGATCCCGAATCCAATTGAATACGTGTTGGCGTTTGAGGCTTAAGGCCGACTGTCTTAGACTTTGATAGATAGAGTTGTGGTGGAATTGAACACAGCAAGGCTGCCCTGTCATTTACAGTTGCCGCCGCTAGTCAGTCACCCATGGCTCCCCTTTCATTCGGGAACATATCTAGAATTGTGTATGCGATTTGGTGTATAAACTTAGTTGGTACTTATGTCTAGTCTACGCTAAATCTTGTAAAACTACGTTATAAAAACTTCCATAATTGAGTTCGCTACTCCACAAGCTGAGTGGTTAATGTGTCAGCCCGCGACATCTGATACACTCCATGTGTAACCTGCAAACTGTGATATCTCTCCTATCCTCCTCCCCCGTATTTTAAGTTCGGTTGATGATTCACCTCGTCCGTTACAGTCCACCTATCAGCAGCAACACACCTACGCAGCCAAGCCTGATGTGTAGGTAAATCATGTTCGCTGGTTCAGCGCGAATAAGCACCTCTCTTGGCCCCCTTCCCCCCCAGCCGGAACGAAAAGTATAAAACTAGGTTGACAGCAAGGTTAGGAGACGGGCGCAAGGAACACCGTGACAGAGAGCGATGGCGATGAGCCTATCACATGTAGTCAATCCCGGTCGGGTTGACGACGCCATCTCACTTAGTACTTCGTAGATATTATCGAAGTAAACTGAGTCTGTCATGGTTGGAAAGGTATCAACGGCAGCACGTAATCTACTCTAGTCATTGTCGCGGCGGTAAGTACGGTGTGGAATCTGCCGGCTGCTGCTATCTCCTATCTATCTCCTAGCTTGCAGACGGATAACGTCCGAGCAGACCCTTTTCGAGGCCAATGCACACTAGCAGCTCTCCTGAGCGGCTAGGGAGACCACCGGTTGGTTTAGTGGGTATCTAGTCAGAGTCATTGCTAGTTCAATACGTTTAGTCGGCAGTTAGTCCTCCTGGCTATAATCTCGTAGGTTCCATGCTGCGATGGCGACTGAATGAAGGGGGCAAAAAGACTGGTCATAAAGATGTGCTTGATCGACGATGCACAGATCACATTGGCTACAAGTTGACCCATCGAACCCCCCTGTCTGTGTAGGTTGCACCAAGTTGCACAGGAGGAGCTTCCGGGCAGGGTTGTTTGCCCGGACCGGGGCGACTAGATTTTTGTTCGTAATGGCAAGGAGTGACCCCCTTGCGAGACACTGCCGAGAGGGTACAGCATGGCATGGCATGGCATGGCGTAGCATGCGTACGGAGGATAAAATGGGATGATTGACTGGATATGGTGTCGAGATGGAGGGATGGATGAAGACAGTTTGCTTGGTGATTATTAATGCGTCTGTCACCGTGGCCGCCACCGCCCTCGATCTCCCGACCCCTAAACCCCCCGCCAATACCGACAGGTTGGTGCTGGCCGCGCCTCCCGTCGGGAAAGGCTAGAGATGGTGGACCGTTCGGTTCCAGGGAGAAGAGGCCAAGCTTGTGATTTCCGGCGCCTCTTTGTTTGCGCGGTCTGGTCACGCACTACCCAGGACATGGGGGGATGAGGAGAAGGAGGTGAACCCAGGTACTACTACCCAAGGAGGCAGTAGCCTCCTCCTCCAATAGGTAAGTACCTTGGACGGGGGGCCCTTATTTAGCGGTAATCTTAGGCCGGGGAGAGGTTCGTTGATAGGTAGGTCTGGTCAATCCACGGATCCTTCTCGTCTGGCAACCTTCCGAGGGAACCAATGACTGCGGTGGTTGGCATCTAGTCCACGGGGCTTGCATATGCGTTTCTTCAGCGGATTGATTTGAAACCCGACTGTTGACACCATCGCGGATGGCGGTGATTAAGGTTGACCTGATTGACGAAGCCATGCTGAAGCCATCCGAGGCTATCCATACGTGAAGTACACAACAAGCAGATACAGAGGGGTGTTTCCATACCAAAACACCAATACCCAGCATACAGATAAGCTTAGCATCTAGAAAGTGTAGTTTGTTGGTCAAGTTCTCTGGAATCCTCACAATGAACAGAACAGCGTAAGTGACCGAGGGAGTGTAGGTGTACAGCTTGCGCGTGTCAAGCAAGACTGGCACCTGAATGGCCGGCTATCTTGTCCCAAGATGCAGGCCGACCAGCCAGGCAAGTCAGGTGGGGCATCACGGAGGGAAGAGTCGACGCTAACGCCCGGATGGGGATAGTGGGCCACACCCGAAGCCCGAGCCAGCCAGTGCAGACTCTCTTCCAAGGCGCTAGTACCGGGCGTATCGACGTTGTACCATTTGGGTCAACACAAACAGAGCAGGTAAAATATTCATACCGACCGTGTGTATGGGAGTAGTCTACTGAAAACTACTGAGTACTGAGTAAGTATACTGCCAGACACGGACCTATCCACCAATCAGTAGCGCTGGTCCAAGATTTGGGAAACTTTGGTAAAGCCAGTCCCTGCCTATCGCTTGGTTCTTCCTTCCCCGGGGAATGAATGAATGAGTACAGCACGGTAGGGTGGATGGCCCGCAGGACTGACTGACAAGTGCCAACAACCCTATCGTGGTCAGTCCAATATGCGCTCGTATTGGAAGTTGGGGGGGATCCTCGGAGGAATGGGACAGAATGATTGGAATCTCATCCACCAGCGATTTAAACGATCGGGGGGACTGCCCCCCCGTCAGAGCCAGGGTCCCAGGAGAAAGAACAGGTGACCTTGGCCGTGGAATGGAAGAAGCGGACCAGGGACCGTTTGCCTTTGACGGAGAATGGGTTTTTCTGTGTAAGTGCATTGGGATGAGGGCCGGGACGCAAGTGTCCGTGCGAGCAGAGCAGGGCCCAGGCCAGAGCAGTCGATGGCCGACGGATACGAGGTACCAGAAAAACAAAAAAACCGTCAACCGTGGATCGAAAACCACCTTTCCCTTTGGGTCCCGATATTGTTTCATCCAAATCTGGGAGCATTTCAATTAGTGATATCTTTATCTTGTATCAGCAAGTCATTGGATACTGTACCATACTGGGACATCTTCCCCCCCCAGGACGTAGAATGTTCCATTGGTGGATCTCCCCGTCGAGCTATACCCAAGTAATTCTCCGTACATCGGCCGGTCGCGGGCTGTCTCTGCTAAGAATAATCTATCTTCTCCCCCAGCTGCGAGTGTAGCTGTGCCCTGCCAGCTAATTATTGCCGGTAATGTTTCTAATAATTATGACTTCCAAGAATTATGATGCTTACCAGCATTGAGGGACCGCCATGGCTTTCTTCCTGCTTCCCCCCATCCTCTCGCCCCGACCCGATCAGCCTCAGCTGTGTCCTCCACCGCCCGGCATCTGTCATGCATTCCTCGACGCAAGGAGCAACGATCGCTTGCCTGCCCCTTTTCGGGTTCCCCCGTGCTTTGCTTTTTCGCTTCTTTTTTTTTGTTCGTTTGGTATTTTGAATTTTAATTCTTGGTCTGGTGTTGATTGCTGCCGGTCCACGTCGACTGGCCCTGGCGTGTCCTCCGTAAATGGCCTGTTCACTGGCCCTCTTTTGCTCCTGCTTCCTGTTCGGCCCCTCTTCTCCCCTGGTGCCCTGGGAGATGAACCCTGGGTGGACGCGTCTCTATCCGTGCCATTATTCTGATCGTTGTTAATTCTCCCGACCATCCACCGTCGATCTGGAGAAACCATCCCCCTCCTTTTTCCCCCTTCCCCTCGTCTGTGATCGCTACCCCCGACGCAGAGGGCTAAGCTTATTCTAAACTCCACCAAAGAGGGCAACAGCGGCCAGCATTCCCTGCTGGGTCGGGGTGGCCGATCGACCAGACGGGACGGCGCTCCACATGCCTATCTATATACATACATACAGCCAACCTAGTTTTTACGATCCCAAGATCCGTATGGAGTAATGGGAGAGGGGAAATAAGAAAATTAAAAAATCAAAGGAAGGGAGGGGAGTATGTGGAGAAGGGAAAGAACAGAAGTACGGTGTAAAGTACAGTGACTTTGTTTTGTTTCCTGAGAAGCTGCCAAAGGGGGCAATCAGCAAAATCCCAGTGAAAAGGCAGATTGAGATTGGATAAACAATACGGCGGAGCGACTAGACCCAAAAGAGATCCTGGGAGGGCTAACCGGTTTTCTGGCACCATTGATTCTGGCCCTTTTAGGGTCAAGTCCATCTGCAGAAGAGGGTCTGGACGATTCTATTTGCCGGGCGAGATGACAAGAATCGTGTCCATATCTCGTCTCATCTGGAGGATATTGAGGAGGGAAAATGGGAAATGACTGGAATGATTGTGAGTTCCCTGCTCAAAAGGAGCTGATTATTGATTATCCATCTCTACCCCGTAATAAGAGTTTCTATTATCAGCTATCTATCTCTGCACCGTTCAGTGGAGGACTAGGTGGCCGACTAACCGAGTCGCCCCCCTCGACCGTGGGAAGCGCCAAAGGTGGAACGGAACAGCTTGGGCGCCTGGACGAGCCCTGTCAACCACGTTGCCGTTGATCAGGCGTCGAGGGATTGGGATTCTGGGACTGGTTCAGTGTGTTTTAGCGAGCCGTCGTCGTTTGGTTCGGCTTAGCTTAGGAAATGCTAGGCTAGGCTTAAGTGGTCGATAGTCAGTAGCGCTGGGGGTGGTTGGACCGGGAGAATGGCTCCATCCGGGTGTGGTTCAGGGTGAGCGAGGGAGAGACAGACAGAGACAAGAGACTGACTGAGTGACTGGTAAGGTTCAGTCAGGTAGGAAAGTTTGTTGCCAATGGTTCCTTTCAATAATACCGGCGGAACGTCCTGGGCCTGTCCGGGCGCGGCTGGGCTTGTCTCTCCTAGGGTGTGTGTTTTCTCCTAAATGCTGATTTTCTTTTCTCTTCTTTTCTACTTTTTCTGATTCACCTCCTGGAGAGGGGTTTTGCTTTTTGCCTGATTGGACTCACTCCATTACGGTTACATGGAAGGTAGCGAAAATAAATAATTTGTTACTAATTTAAAAAGCATTAAGTAAAAACAAGACAGAGAGTTGTGTTTAAAAATAAGTATACTAAATAAATTTTGAGAAAAGAAAAGTGAGCAACAGGCAAGCATTCATTCATCCATTCATTCATTACTGCTGAAATTTTGGTTGGGTCTTGGCCCCGATTGGGAATCCTCCACTCAATGCGGTCGGACCAGACTAGCTGCTTTGGATGCTGCTTTTTGAAGTCTGCTGATTGAGAAGATTATTATTCTTTTTTTCGGTCTTATTTCGTTTTTCTATTTCTTTTTTAATTGACTGCTGATGGAATAAATAATATTAAGATTAATAAAAATTTAATACGACGAATGAAGATTGGACTGGGATAGTCCTGCGTGAGTACGGGATGAATGTCGTGCTTTGTATCTCACCATCTCTCCCTATTTACTCTTTTCTCTCTCTGTGTCAGTCTGACCCTCCTGCTTGGTATCTTCAGTAGTGGTAAAGACTGGTAGATAAGTAAATTCAAACCATTTCCCAAAGAGTAAATAAATAAATAGAAATGAAAATAAAAGCAAAAAAAAAAAATAAAAGAAAAAAAAAAATAAAAAAAATAAAAACTGCGTGTGAAGGAGAGGGAGTTAGTCATTATCGGACCGTCAGGGTGGGTATGTTCTCCCTGGTATTTTTTCCCGGCGTGAACTCAACCCCCGCGCTGGCCAGACCCGGCGCTGGACTGGTCTGGATACGTCTCCATTCCCGGCTTGTTTGGTCCTCCCCATTTTCGCCCATCAGCAAATAATCCATATTATTATTCATATTCACTCTCCATCCCGAGTCTCTTTCTGCTGTTCTTTCTCGTTTCCCACGAACAATAAAAGATCTCCCTCCGTGAACTTACCCCCCTCAGTTGCTTGTCTTTTCACGACTTCTCTTTTTCTCTTCTCTTCTCTTCTCCTCTCCTCTCCCTCCCTGCCGTGCAAGCTTATCCAACTAGCATCTTCCCTCCTCCCATCAGCGCCACCCACGACTTGTCCGATCTTCACCACTAATTAATTCCCACTCTTTCAGCTCCCACCAAACCATCCATCCACCACCACCACCACCACTACTACCACTACCACCACCACCACAAACTCCCGACTCCGACTCCGCCCGCCAATCTTCTCCTTCCCGCCCTCCCAAATCTTGCTCTACGCGCGCCGGATCCTACCATCCCCGCTGCCACTCAACTCCCGTCCATGGTACTCTAAACTGTCATTTCGCCTGATCTTCATCCGCGCATCCACATCAACACCTTAACACATAACTATTTCTTTCTTCTCTCGTGCGCATCGCGTGAGGGCGCGTTGGCCTGCCTGGAGGAAAAAAACAAGATCATGCCGTTGTCTTGACTAGTTTCTCATCGCAATACACCTATCTCGCCATCCTACGACCTACCTCGTCGATCTCTCTCCATTGCCGTGTTCGCGCTTGATTCTTCTGTCGCATCAGCACCCTCGCTCCATCGGAAAGGATATGACTTCCTGATAAAACACTGGGGTCAATCCAACCTGACGTGAAAACTTTATCGATCGTGAAACAACCGACACAGGTGGTACCCGTCGAGCATCATACCCACGGTCGATCTCCCAGGACCACCCCCGTTGCAGACTCAGATCGCTGATCGCGATCCGATCGCCCCTCCTGGATCCTCCAGACATTGCCGGTGGCCTGTCTGGCAGTCGATACTGGACCCTTGCATCTGACTCGGTCGCCTTCCCAGGACATCTGTCCAGCACCTTGGCCGGCCCCTCTTCCGTGGTAGTGGGTGATTTATTTCCTTCCTCTAGCTACTCACGCGAGACATCCGCCAACCTGGCTGCCCTCGCGATCCCCCCTCCAGGCATGGGGACGGCGCTCGATGCGCTGACTACCCACCAGCCGTTGAACTCGCGTCGTCCTGCAGCCCCGACGCTGCCCAGCTTTGAGCTTCCTGCACCCAACTTTCAGACCAGCGTCAAGTACGCCCATCACAATCCTCCGCCTATTAACCCCAGCGTCAGCAACCTCCTCACTCCACCAGCGACCACGCAGTCGGGTGAAACTCTCCCTGCTACGACCTCGCACACAGCCACCACCACGGCACCCACAAATCCGGAGTTGGCTCCGTACTGGCAAAGCCAGAGCGCATATCAGAGTGGGTCAGGGGCAGCAGCTGCCCGTCAGTCGTGGAACTCGAGTGTGGTGTATCCGAGTCGAGACACCTTCTCTCCGTCGGTGAATTCCCTGAATCGTAATCCTGCCACATCGACTCCAGGCACCGAGCACATCGCCCAGTCATACGAGATGAATCACTTGCCGCCGTTTCACCAATCTGCCTCGGTCTCCGCTGCTGCACCAGTTCAGGCGGGTGCTCCTCAGCAGCATCACGCAATGACACACGCGATGTTGTCAGCACACAACCCGTTGCCCAACCCGACACCGTCGCCGCATCCCCTTCCCACCAACGACCCCTACATGGTCAAATCATCGTCTGCCCCAGCCTATGGGACTATCCAGCAGCTGTCCAGCCCACCGGGCGGCTATTCGCCGTACGGACAACAGGGCATCGTGCCCAACCGGGTGGCATCTAATCCGCACCCTTCGCACCATCTGAACTATCAACGACAGCCATGGCCGTCATATTCGCTTCCGGCGATGAACGGACCCATCTGGACGAATGTGCACAATCCGAACGGGCAGATGTCACTCACCGGAAACTTGCAGTCCGGAGTGCTGCCTGGGTTGCCTGGGTACAACAGTGGGCACGTGGCCAATATGCAGCAGATGCAGCAGTTGTATGGGGGTCACCCACCCCATCCGGGTCACGGCGCTCCAGGACCCACCAACGATCGACCGTTCAAGTGTGACCAGTGTCCGCAAAGCTTCAATCGCAACCATGATTTGAAGCGACATAAGCGAATTCACCTCTCGGTGAAGCCGTTCCCTTGCACACACTGTGACAAGAGCTTTTCACGCAAGGATGCGCTTAAGGTGAGCCTATTGATCTTCTTTGGTTTTTCTGGTCTGGTCTAGTCTAACAGTGTACAGCGACACATTCTTGTGAAAGGCTGCGGCAAAGACGGCTCTGATGGCATGAAGCCAGGGGATCACGGGATGGTGAAGGAGGAGGATCGAAGTGACGAATCAAATGGACAGCACTGAGACGGGATTGGCGTTTATCGCATGTTCTGGAGTTGATGGAGGGTCGTTATTGTATTTGATTGACCAGCTACTCTGGACGGCGAGTTTGTATTGATTTGACTGTGACTTGTTTTTTTGACGGGACAGGTTGGGACCGGATTGTTGATTGTTTGCTTTGTTCGGGATGGCATCAGCGTCGGGCAGCCTGATTCATGTATACGTATGTAAGTAGAGGCGTTGGCCAGCGTGTATGGATTGGAATGTTTGTTATTTACCATCCGTTTATTCCTTTATGAGCGATGCTTGTTTTGATTTCGTCTGACTCAGATTGCTTGAGTGGCACATGAGCGACCTGTCAGAGGGGACTATGCAAGGTCTCCGGAAACACTACTACTCCGCCAAAGTGATCAAACCACTCACCGCTGCAGTGGGTGTATCAGTGCCCCTTGCCCATGTCCATAAAAGCTGCCACTATTGTCAATAACCATCCTGCTATTGCCAGCATCGCCAACAGACAAATTGCTCAATAGCCACATCATCCACATCACCAACCAACCATGCATTTCCCCCTCCCCCTCCCCCTCCCCCTCCTCCTCCTCACAACACTAACCCTAACCACCACCACCACCACCGCCCAATACCTCAAAGACATCAACCCCATCGCCGTCGACTACCCCGTCCACGTCGACTTCGTCCCAGACTCCACCCACCTCGCCGACCTCGAATCCCCCAAACTATCCGAAGTCAACACCACCGTCTTCGAATGGTGGTACTTCGACGCCATCTCCTCCACTAACCCCAACGCCTCTATCGTCCTCACCTTCTTCACCACCACCGCTACTGCATTCCCTGCCGTCCCGCAAAACCTCTCCTCCGTCCTGCTCACCTACGTCTGGGCGACCTTGCCAAATGGCACCACTGTGTCTCAGAATATCGTCCCCATCGATGCGTCGGTGATGGGCGATCGGGATGTCAGTTCCGGGGGGTGGGAAGGCACGGGTGGTTGGGCGGGTAGGGAATCGGGGTATGAGGCGTGGGTGGGGTGGGAGGGAGGGAGGGTTAGTGGGAGGATGGTGTTTAGGGATGTGAGTATTCCTCTACAGGACAAGATAGATGTTGGACTGCTAATGATAATGGTGGTGAGGGTAGCTCGCTCCGCCACTTCTGCCCTGCTCGACGCCTCAGCAGACGAATCGGGCGTTGGGGATCGGTGAGGGTCTGGGATGGGTGAGTATGGTGCCGGATTCGCATGCTATGGTGGATTTGGTGGTCGATGGGGAGAAGGTGCAGTTTATGGGGTTTGGGTATCATGATAAGGTATTTTCCTCTTCTTTGTTTTCATCTTACGCTGTGTGTTGGTCTATCTCTGATAGGGTTAGAATTGGGGCAATCGCCCGTTCCAGAATACCGTCAAGAGATGGTCCTGGGGCCATGTGCATATTGGACAGTATGCGTTGGTGTGGTTGCAGTACACGCCTCGTACGGGGGCAGATAACTCCACCACGCCGATTGTGAGCGCCTATCTGGCCCGTGATGGGAAGGTCTTGCAGTCGGGCTGCCGTAACAGCATTATCAATATCATTGAGAGGATGACGGCGAGTAGCTACGGTGTGGATGTGGGGATGGACGATGTGGAGCTGCGGATCCAAGGGACTGTGGAAGTAGCTGGTGATGGGAAGAATTATTTCCGGTGGAATGGGGTTGTTTTCGGGACGGTTGAGGGTCAGAAACTGGATGGGGGAGTAGCTGTGTTTGAAGGGTTCAGGTTGTAGTAGTAGTAGTAGTTGTTTCAACAAGTTGTAGCTGGAATGGACACATTCGACTTGTCTATTTACAAGGTACCAGTACAGTACCTAACTATGGAGATGATCATTTCAACCACTCGTCCACCAACCCCCGATAATCCTCCATCCCATACGGCTCCAACCACTTCAAACTGCCTTTCCGTCGCCAATCCAGTCCCATATCCTGCAACAACAGATCAATATACGGCAACGTGTCAAACACGAAATCCGGATTTCTCTTCCCAAATCCCCCAGGACACCGATACTTCCCGAACTGCGTGTGTAGCGCCATCTCCCACACCACATCCCCGTCCACTTCATCCTCCGCCAACCCCTTCTTCACCTCCACCGGACACGTCTCCCTTGCCTTCACCCCAATCCCATCCCCCATAAACGCCGCCACCCACAGCGCCTGCACCTGCGCAATCAGCGGCGTATTCACCGTCATCGTCGTCCCCAGCACCGCCACCGACCTCTCCTTCAGAAATGCCGCCGGCACCATAAACCGCACCAACCGGAACGGATGCTTCGCAGTAGCCGGTGCCCCAGGAGCCAGGTGTTGATAATCCTCCTTCCCATTAACACCGACACTCAAACTCTCACGCAGCTTCGGGAACCGCGTTAGAATCTCCTGATCCGCCCGCTTCACCATCGGCGTACTCAAGTAATCCTCCGCCCACGGGAATCCCAACTCGCTCTCAATGCCCGCGGGTCTGAACTCCATATTGGGTTGGGCTTTCCACCCGGTAGCACAAATCAACCCTTCACTCTGAACAACCTCCCCAGACTTACCAAGACAGATACCTCCATCTTCAGTAAGCTTCACAATATCATCAATAACCAACCGTACCTTCCCCTCTTTAACAAGGGAGTAGAAATCATCCTCATAGTTCAGAATACTCAGTCCACTAGCAACCCAAAAGCAACTGTACCACGGCTTCAACTTCTTCGTCTCCTCGTGGCCGTCGTAGTTGTTTAATGTCAACAGGTCGTTCTCCAGCACCGCCCAGTACGCAGTCACGATCTTCCGGCCGAGCCAGGTACCATGTAGAAACTTCCGAATACGTGAACACCCGTCCGCATCGCCCCAGATACACGGCGAGAACCAGGTCAACAGCCGCGTGGTGAGAAGCTTCTCGAACCATTTCTTCAAGGGGGTAACGTACATCGGAGTCATCCACACCGGCCCGTGGCCTGTCGAGCGGATGATCCATGTGACGTTGGCGCCGGACGTCGCGGCGGCGTGCACGGCGTCCCAGGCGGATTTGGTACCGCCGTAGATGGTTACCTTTTTGTCCTTTTGGAAGAGGGTGGCTTGGTGGGGGAGGAGAGTGCCGGTGTGGGTGATGATGTGGGGGTAGGTTTCTTGTCCTGGGATGTGAGGGAGGAAGGGCTCGGAGGTCATTCCGGTTGCTAGCAACAGCTTTTTTGTACGGATTAGCTTCCTTTGGAGTTCGTCCGAGAAGGAAGAGAAGGGGGAGGTGCTGGTGGTGAGTGTCCAACCCCCGTCATTATCGTCGACGTGCTCGACGACTTCCACCTTCGTCTCGAGTCGGATCAGGTCCCGGATGTTGAAGTGGTCCACGTAGGCATTCAGGTACTTGTGTACCACGTGGCCCGGGATATGTTCGCCTTTCTTCACCCCGAATGTGGCGCTGTCCATGAGAAAGTCACTGTACTCGTAGGTGCCCAGCATGTTGTTGGTTTTGAGGCCCTGGTAGAGCCGGTGGGCGGCCCAGACGCCCCCGACGGTGGTGGCGCTGTCCAGCAGGAGGATGCGGGCGGTGGGGTGCACCTCGTGGTAGGTTTTGAGGGCGGAGAGACCAGACCATCCTTTTGCCAGAGTGTGTTAGTGTTGTGTGGTAGGAGGGTGAGGATGGGTAGATGGAGTGGCATTGACATTGGGGGCAAGGGAATGAGACGGGAAGGGGCATGCAAGGGATAGACGGAAGGATGAAAGATTGGAAGGATGAGTGGAAAATACCTGCTCCGACAATAACGAGATCGACGGATTCCATTTCCACAGACGACTCCATAGTGGATGGATGACGAATCCGTAGGTTTTGAATGGAGTGGAATTGAATTGAATGAAGAAGATTAGATAGATAGAAAGAAAGAAGGAAAGAAAGAAGAACGCTGTGAAGAGGAAGACAATGGCAAACAAAAGAATGCCAGTCGGTGAATTAAAAATAGACAATGTACTTTGTTGCTAATGTAACACAACCGCGCTCACAAGCATTTGCTCGAGTGGAGCAGCCACAACCAGCGATTTATAGTAACACAAACACCCAAGAAAAGAATGGGGAGACCAGACGAGAAGGGAGGAGGGGGGGGGGGTAATGACCGTTGGAAAGCCGCCGATCGCGGGTTTAAATCCCGTCGACACTCCCTGTCTTGGCTGCATGATGGAGTGAAGGGGGACTTGGATTTACTCCGTTACTAGTGGCGGACTGACGGGATCAGTGTCTGAAAACAGAGTAGTACAGTACGGACTACGGAGTACAGAGAGGAATGGGTTGGAGAAAAAATAAACAAGTAGGGACTAGATTGGTCTGCAGTTGAGACGGAAGATGATAGTTAGAGTTCCGAGGAAATTGCAGAGTCCTCAACTTAAGTACGGAGGACAAGGATGGGGGTGATACAGGCGCGTTCATTTGTTGGTTGATCGCAAGCGACGGCCGGCGCGGACACTAGTTTGGTGGTTGACAGTTAGGGTTATGAAAAGGCAGCTCCACCGGGATTTGGTCTCAATGTTCAGAGTTTGACCCGGTGATTCACTTGACAGGAATGACAGGATGTCAGCTTTGGTTGATTTCTGGGTCGTCAGAACTTTGTCTTAGACTTTAGTTATACGTAGTAAATTGACTTGACTTGTCAGTCAGCTCTTCACTGCCGCCCTGCCCTGCATCTCTATCTGATTAATGCGATAAACTCAATATTCAGATTCAATAGTTGATGCATACACCCGCATTATCGATATGTCATGCATCCTTTGCATCCTGCGACTCAATTTCTGGGTCTGTGCTGATCGGCTATCCGTAAATTTGTGCCAACTTGTGCTGTTGCCAAAGTACTAACTACCGATGCCTCCGTAATCCCCGCGCTGATCTCTGTCTCTATCCGGTAATCATAGCGTTCTTCCTTCTTCATCCTCATCTTCTTCCCATCTCCACTGCCCCGTCCACACCCACACAAATACACGAACTGGGCCATGGCTTTCCCCCCCCCGTCTCTTCCCGCGTAACGGCACACGGCCTGACCTTGTTTCTGGGCTGGGTCTAATGCTTAGTATAGTCTACTATGGCCTACCGGAAATTACAAGAACTGGTCCCCGTAGTTTCAGTATAGTCCACTGTGTGGCCCAGTCGCCTCCCTATCTTGCTTAAGTGCCACCAAACTACTGCATCGTACTTCGGGCTCTCCCCTGTCAGGAGACAGAATCCACCAGGGAGGAAGGAGACAAAAAAAAAGGGAGCCAGCACGGAACCACTCGCTTGGGTCGGATGTTTTGCCGGGTGGTAAATATGAACCGTGCGTGCCGACTGTCAACTGAGGCCAGTGCCAAAATTTAGAACAGGCAGGCAGACAAACAGACAGGCAATCAGTGACTGGGATGTTTGATGACTGGGGATATATTAATATGTAGTATACCCTCTTAGTCCCCTTCTCCTGATTGTCTTGTCTTTTGTAAACAGATCCACAGGTCCACTCCTTTCCACCACCCTCTCTTGCAACTTCTGTCAGTCAGTCAGTCAGTCATGGCAGGCGACGACTTCGCTGTCGAGGCGTTCACCCTCTTAGCTATCGCCATCGTCACGATAGCCATTCGCATCGTTGCACGATGGTTCACCGCCGGCTGGAAGAACTTTATGCTCGATGATTATTTGATGCCGTTGGCGGGGGTATGTGCCTGCCTCTCCCCGCCACCATTTCCCACGCCACTCCATGCTGATAAGACTGGTTCTATGACAGGTAGTATACGGTCTCGAAACAGGCGCCGCCTACTGTGTGAGCGCGTGGTGGAAAGGTCTCGCCAACAATGCCATGACGGACGCTGAGCGCGCCGCGCTCTCCCCTACTTCAGAGGAGTATCATTTGCGGGTTGGGGGATCCAAAACGCAGGTACTTGGGTGGTCGCTGTATACCACGTTGCTGTGGCTGCTGAAGTCGTGCATGGCGGTGTTTTATTCTCGATTGACGTATGCAGCCACCACACTCATCCATCCACCAATATCATACTAACAGTTCATAATGATAGGGCCGGCCTCATCAACATGCACATCCGTATCCGTATCGCATACTTCCTCATTGGAGCCACCTACATCGCCGTCATCATCAGCATCCTCGCAGGATGTCACCCTATCCAGAAGAACTGGCAGATCAACCCTAACCCGGGGAACTACTGCCAGCCGGCTGTCTCACACATCGACGTCTATGTGACAGTGGTGTTGAACGTCGCTACAGACGTGTATTTGATTTCCATCCCGACCCCTGTAAGTCGATGCATCCTTGTACCCTGTTCTCTCCATGACAAATAGTCCCAGCCAAGACTAACTATCGAATTATTTGGAATGCCTCAGATCCTGTTCAAAGCCCGTCTTCCCTGGCGCGAGAAACTCGAACTCCTTATCCTTTTCAGCGGTGGTACCTTTGTCATGGCTTGTGGTATCCTTCGCTGCGTATTGATCGTCACTGTATGTCCCCACCCCCCTTCCCTCCAAAAACAACAACCCACTAACCACCATGGTAATAATACAGGCCGGCGCCAACGGCGCCTCCCAAGCCGGCAGCTGGGCCTGCCGCGAGACTTTCGTAGCGGTGATAATCGGCAACGCGCCGATGATCTACCCAATGTGTCGCAGACTGGCCATGCGAGCAGGGTGGTACATGTCGACCAAGGGGACGAAGGGCAGTTCACAAAGTTATCCGTTATCGGATGGAGCGGCGCATTCGGGCACGGATAATAGTAAGAACAAGAGACGCAAGTTCAAGCATCCGCTGTCGTTGCCGGATACACAGTGGAATACGGTTAGTGAT